ATCTCTGCTTTGGCGGCACCAGTGATTCAAGCTAGCCCTCAACCAATCTGTTACGACGCAGCATCCGCCAGTTACGGTTATTGCTACTACTGTTGTCCAACATGTATGTGTGCAACGCCTGTTGTCAGTAGTACTGTTTAGATAGAAAATACATAAAATCATATTTTTTTTCTTTAATGATCGGGCTTAATTAAAGTGTTGATAAGAAATATAACTTGTTAACATATTTTCTGTTATTGAATATTTTATATCTTTCTTAATACATGTAATTAATTATACATAATTATTTTAAACTTTCATTAAATAAAATAGTCTATGGGAATTAAGTGAAAAAAGAAATATCAAATGCTCATATTCTTAAATTTACTTGTTCACAATTGGAATTGACAAAAAAACTGCATATGAAATCCACAAGTGTTAGTCCAGGCTTTTCAAATATAATCTAGATTTAGTTTGAATTCACATGTTAATAAAATTTTAAATAGTACGATGTATGTCTTTGGGATAGACTTTTTGATGATAAAATTCGGTGTCTAAGATAGAGTTTAAAAATTTGTTAACTTTAATAAGGTTCAGGTCGTAAATTTGATTTCTTAATTGGATGTACTGGTATTGTGTCTTTCCTTTGAATTTTTCCATTAGTTCAATGAACTTCTATACCAAGTTAGCGCAATATTTCTCAATGAGAAAGTCTATCTATATTGATGGAAAAATTTCGTAGTACATTATATGTATTTAATAAGTAGCAATCAAGAAATGCATTGCCAGCTCCTTGTTTCAGTCAAGAGTCTCCTACTCCTGTCCCTTGTGGCGAAATCAGAATCGGTGGTGGCAGCGGTCATATTGTTTCACTTGAAAGACGTATAATGTATGTGGAGCCATAAGAACCAAAAGATTGTCAAAAAATTGCAATAGTAATGCTTGAAATTTTAAATCTTCAGTTTTTGTTTTGTATAAAAATCGCATTATCAAATTGATTTCCATTTGAAATAAGATCAATAATCTGACCTAATAATTTGGATAAAATATAGCACGTGGAAATTTTGATTTCATTTTATAAATAGGCAATATAAATTTTTAGAAAAATTTAATATATTGGTATACATGCATCGTAAAATTAAAGGATTAGGTGTGTTCGCAGCACCAGGAGAATCATTTAATGATTTCTTCGATAAACAAAATGAACAAGAAAGAAATTTAAAGCAAATATAGTATTGGTTTGTGTTTTGAAATAGAACGAGTATTATAATAGATGTAAATGCTAACTAATTGCATTATCACAAATAATTCTTGTCATTTCTCTATCAATTATTTATCAAGCAAACTACTTGCGCGCGTAAACAGATACATGTATCACCAATTGAAACTCAATCTGAAAGAACTTACATAAGAATTCAAACTTTACCACTAACGAAATTGTTGCAAGGCTAACTGAAAACAATTAATTTAACAATTAGAAATTGAACTGAATTTTGAGTTATACATTATACTTTAAAGTAGCATTATTAGGCTAGTAATAAAAAAAATTAATCGTTTGCTTATCAGTGCAGGAAAAGTTAAATCTCGCAAGAAATTACAACGTGAGCTAGATGCCATATTGTGTATCTAATAATTTTTGAACCAAGACGGAAAAATTTTCAAGTCGATTTATCTGCATACATTTATTTATTTTACTATTATTTTTTAAGAAACGCCGATGTCAGTGACAACACGGGAGGTAATCGAAGTTGTATAATTCAATTTTGTGATGTGTAAGTTTATATTATATTTAACGTTAAAAATCCTATATCTATGGTAAAAAAAAGATTTTATTAAACATATACATGTGATTATAGCTAAAGTTAAGGTTCCTGTGATGTACATTTTACATAGATCAATGCCACTACCAAGTGGCGTTCCTTTGCAGTTATAATCGGAGAAAAAGGTGTAATTGACATTAGGACGCGCCTCAACTTGAGTTACATCGTTATTCGCCGCCTTAACCAAAACATCCAACCTCCGGGTGCGCCAGGGTAACTTGTAAAAAAGCGAGAATAATATTAATATAACGGAGTTTTGTGGATTAACAGGTTAATCGAATGTGATCTTACTAAGATTGCAAGCTTGAGCGTAAATTATGTAAATCAAACTGACATTCAGGATAAAATAATTGATTGGGGAACTTTATCTTTGCTTCGTAACTGGGCTTTTAATAATAAAGGATCTTTTAGGTTGTGAATTGCTTGTGATGGTATGAGATCTCTTTTTGTATGGGAATTGACTAGTCTTATAGTTTCTGAAGATTTCTTCTCGTTATTGAAATGATGTAAATGTGTATGTAATCTCTTCATGAATATTGATTGATTGACAAAATCACATTTGTATAATAATGTAAGTTACATATAATGATAATTTCTGAAAGAGAATTTGTTTGACTGAAAAAAATCATTATCATGGACGAACATGCATAGGTTACATGCACATTTCAATCATTTGACGTTAAATAAATTACCCATATTTAGGAAAGTAACTCAATTCAATAACTGTTGATTAATTATCAAGGATTTCTTTTTTTAGAGTATAACACGATCATTCTAAATGTGTCAAGATCCTCGACTCTTAAGTAATGTATAACGAAAACTTTGTACACCAAAAGAAGATCATCTATAAATGATCGACAATAATTAAACGCGATTGATCGTTATAATTAATTTTTATTAAAACCCCCAAATTCTAATCTTTCAGAACATTTTTATAAAATTGGTCCACTAGAAGTTATGCAATTATCATTTAAATGAAATTGATTAACTTTAAAAAAATCTATATGAAATAATTAAACACAATTTATAACTTTTATAATTATTTTTTTTATTAGAATTATCAAATCATAAGCTTGCAGAAAATATCTTGTTCATAAAAATTTGTTCACTAGAAATTCTGTAATTGCTATTCGAATAAAATTGATTACCTTTATATTTACTAAATTAACTGAATTCTTAAAGAATTTACATATTATAATAAATAAAATTTACATGATTAGTATCAGCATAATTATATTTTCTAGATTACTTTTTATTAACAAGTTATAGATCAATTTGTTATGTAAGTTATTGAATAATCATCATTTTAATTTCAATTGATATAAAATAAACTAGATGTGATTTATTACACAACCAGCAATTTAAATTTGTAAGTATTTTTCTATTAGAATTTCTAAAGCTTTTAAAAATGAGTTTTATAAAAATTAGTTCACTAGAAATTCAGTTATTTTCATTTGCATAAATTAACAAATTTTGTATTACTAAATTTAATTAATATTTTTGAGAAAATTTACATAATAACTTTAAATAAATTTATTTAATTAGAATTAACAAAGCCTGTTTTATTTAATAATATATTACATTTTCTAGATTATTTTTTATTAATAAGTAATAAATCAATTTGTTTTGATATTTCAGATCTATCAGAACATGATATTAAAATGATTTAATCTTGATCTTTATGTTTTTATTATTATAATTATGAATTTAAAATAAAATAACTTAATATTTTACTAATTTTCTAATTTTACTTATTAGTTTTTTTATCTTTTTATAAATCAATAATTTTTATATATTCAAAATTAGTAAGTTTTAATCTTTTAAATATTATTCAAAATAATTATTTTGAAAAGCATAAAAAATATTTTCTGAAAGTAGAGATCAAAATGAATCTAATAAAAAGAATTAAATAATTTGAATAATTAATTATTAAAATAAATATAATATAATATTTTTATTAAATTTGTAAATAATTAATTAATATTTATAAATAGAATTTTTAATTTGCTAAACTTAAAAAATCAAATATTTAATAAAAAAGTATAATAAAATTAAATATATAAGTATATTATAATTAGTATTTAAAATTTATAATTACTAAACTTATCTGAATATTTTTATTATATTAATATATATATATATTAATATTATCTTATACTATATAAACTTATAAATAAATTTCAGAAATTTTTATAAAATTTTTATTTATATAGTATTAATATAAATTTTTTAAAAGAAAGAATATATTTATAAAAATTTTATTTTATATATTTTTTTCTTATTTATATAATTATAATTTTTATTTATTATAAAATTATTATATTAAATTTTATTATATTATTTTACTTATATATAGTGGCAACCAAAAGTAATGACTCAGAGGCTAAATTTACTAATAAAATATAGTGAAAATTGAAATTTTCTCTCTATATTAAA